CGCCAGGAGGGCGAGAGTAGCACAAACGGTGGTCGAGACAAATCCAACATCAAGTGCTTTAATTGAGGAGTATACGGACACTTTCAATCGGAGTGTCACAAGCAACGCCGCAATCACGATCAGGAGGCTCATCTCACCCGAATCTATGACGAGGAGCCAGCCTTGATGATGACTGTGTTAGAGGAATCATCCACTGTCATCTTGCTTAATGAGGAGAAGGTGGTGCCAAACTTACTCACAGCCGGGGAGACACAAATTGACAACAATGTTTGGTACCTAAACAACGGAGCTAGCAATCACATGACCGACCACCGAGGCAAGTTCAAGGAGCTCAACGAGAACATCACCGGAACCGTCAAGTTTGGTGATGGATCCACGGTAGAGATCAAGGGGAAAGGCTCTATCCTCTTCCAGTGTAACAACGGCGATCAAAGGATACTACCTGAGGTATATTATATTCCGAGCTTAAAATCCAATATCATTAGCCTTGGTCAGATGACTGAAGACGGAAGTAAAGTTGTTCTTGCTGATAAGTTCTTGAGGGTGTTTGATAGGAACGATGCTCTCTTGATGAGGGTGACACGTTCAACTAACAGACTGTACAGGATAGAGTTGAAGACATGCAGGCCGACGTGTTTGATAGCGAACATTGATGATCCAGCTTGGTTGTGGCATGCTCGCCTTGGGCATGTCAATTTCTTTGCCCTCAAGATGATGACCGACAAGAGGATGGCGTCTGGGTTGCCGAAGATTGTGCACCCGAACCAAATATGCGAGGGATGCCTTGTCGCCAAGCAAACAAGACTTTCATTCCCTTCGCAAGCAAATTTTAGAGCTCAGAAGCCGCTGGAATTATTACATGCCGATCTATGTAGCCCGATCACCCCATCTACACTTGCTGGTAACAAATACTTTCTCCTTGTTGTTGATGATTTTAGCCGGTGGATGTGGGTGTACATGTTGAAGGCCAAGAGTCAAGCCTGTGAAGCTTTCAAGAAGTTCAAGACCGAGGTGGAGAATGCATGTGGCCACAAGGTGAAGACCCTGAGAATAGACCATGGTGGCGAGTTCTTGTCAAAGGAGTTCACCCAGTTATGTGAAGACTACGGCATCAAAAGTCATCTCACTGCACCGTACACCCCACAGCAAAACGGTGTAGTGGAGAGACGCAATCGCACGGTGATGGCGTCATCTCACTGCACCGTACACCCCACAGCAAAACGGTGTAGTGGAGAGACGCAATCGCACGGTGATGGCCACGACAAGGAGCTTACTCAAGAGTATGCATATGCCAGGAACGATGTGGGGTGAAGCAGTCAGGCATGCGGTGTACTTGCTCAACCGACTACCAACCAAAGCGTTGAGCGATCTCACACCTTACGAAGCTTGGTTTGGTAAGAAACCTCGTCTAGAACACTTGAGAATATTTGGATGTGTGGCACATGTGAAGGTTGCAGGAGCTTATCATAAGAAACTTGACGATCGGAGCACGTCAATGGTGTATATTAGCGTAGAAGAAGGGAGCAAAGCGCATCGCCTCTATGATCCTCAACACAACAAAGTTCATGTAAGCAGGGATGTTGCGTTCGAGGAAGGAAAAGGATGGGAGTGGAGTGTAGACGGAGATGAAAGACCACCCAACTGGGTGGAGTTCACGGCGGAAGGGGAATCAGCAGCTGGCCGATCCAGCTCACCGACAGCCGTCGGCCCAGGTGCAGATGCTGAGGCAGCGAGTCCCGCTGCATCGAAGGCGTTCGGAACACCAGGCACTCCTATCTCTTAAGATGAACCTGTGTGCTACCGTTCCCTAGCAGATATCTATACAGAGACAGAGATGATTAACCTTCCCACAGAGGAACTGTTTCTGGCCACTGAAGAACCCACGAGCTATGGTGAGGCTGCAACAGAGCAAGAATGGCAGACAGCCATGGAAAATGAGATGGAGACCATCGAGAAGAATAAGACTTGGGTACTCACGGAGCTACCACGGGGCTCCAAACTCATTGGCCTCAAATGGGTGTACAAGCTAAAGAAGGACAACGATGGCAACATCCTCAAGCACAAGGCGAGACTTGTAGCGAAGGGCTACGTTCAATAGCATAGCGTGGACTTCGATGAGGTGTTTGCACCTGTGGCGAGGATGATCCTTGCTATATCAGCACAGCGCGGATGGGAGGTGCACCATCTGGATGTCAAGTCGGCATTTCTAAATGATGATCTCCAGGAAGAAGTGTACGTGGTCCAGCCTGAAGGGTTCGTTGTGAAGAAGGAAGAGCACAAGGTCTACAAGCTTTCTAAGGTGCTCTATGGTCTACGCCAAGCACCACGGGCGTGGAACACACGACTTGACAAATGCTTGAAGGGCATCGAGTTTGTAAGGTGCTCTCAAGAGCAGGCGGTATACACTAGGAGCAATGGAGGGGATGTACTCATCATTGGTGTGTACGTGGACGACTTGATCATCACGGCTCAAGTGCGGATGAGATCAGGTTTTTCAAGCTGCAGATGATGAAGGAGTTCGAGATGAGTGACCATGGGCTACTTTCCTACTATCTTGGTATAGAGGTGGACCAGAGAGGTGATTGCATTTCGCTAAGGCAGGCGGCCTACGCGAAGAAGATCTTGGTTCAGTTCGGAATGATGGATTGCAACCCGACCCACGCTAAGGCAGGCGGCCTACGCGAAGAAGATCTTGGTTCAGTTCGGAATGATGGATTGCAACCCGACCCAATATCCCATGGAGGCAAAGCGAGAGTTTGGAAAGGACTCTGAAGGAACACCGGTAGACGTGACAAAGTATAGACGAGTCATTGGATGCTTGAGGTATCTAACTCACACCCGACCCGATATCTCTTATGCCGTGGGGATTATGAGTAAGTACATGGAGAAGCCTACAGTTGTGCATCGTCAGGCGGTCAAGCACATTCTGAGATACGTAAAGGACACTATGTCCTATGGATTAGTGTACAGACGGAGTCGATGCAATAAAGAATTGGTGGGATTCACTAACAGTGATCTTGCGGGAGATGTTGATGACAGACGCAACACAGGTGGCATGACATTCTATCTAGGTGACAGTCTGGTCACTTGGACATCACAGAAGCAGAAGACGGTGGCATTATCCTCTTGCAAGGCTAAGTTCATGGCGGCAACAGCTGCAGCATGCCAAGGTCTATGGCTGAGGAGCTTACTCAGCGAAGTGACCAACAGTGAGCTCAAGCCGGTTACTCTCTTCGTTGACAAGTCCGCGATTGCCTTGATGAAGAATCCGGTATTCCATGGAAGAAGCAAGCACATCGACACACATTTCCATTTCATTCGTGAGTGTGTTGAACGAGGGCAGATTAAAGTGGAGTTCGTGAGCATGAGCGAGCAGCGGGCGGACATTCTCACAAAGGCACTAGCAAGGGTGAAGTTCATCGAAATGCGGGAGCTGCTAGGAGTAAGGAACTTAGACTCTCGTCCAGATTAAGGGGGGAAATGTGATGGTTAATTTGTCCTACCCATTAAAGGGAGTGTCCCTAGTTTGTAGGAGTCCATGCTTAGGTAGGAAGAATTTAGAAGTTAGTGGATAATGTTAGTGGATAATGTAGTGGAAGAAGTTAGAAATTAGTGGATAATGTTAGTGGAAGAAGTTAGAAGTTAGTGGTATGATCTTATATATATGTAAGCAATCATGTAACTTTTATGCATGAAGAAGAAAAACTCCCTGCTCAAAAAAAATTCGGCTCTCTCCCTCCCTCTCTCTCTCTCTCTCTCTCTCTCTCTCCTCTCTCTCTCTCTCTCTCTCTCTCTCTCTCTCTCTCTCTCTCTCTCTCTCTCTTTTCGTGACAAATCTTGGTAGGTACTTAGGCCGATCCCAATTCAAAGCCATCAATGGATAGTGCAAAGATGGCAAGTTAAAGAAAGTAAGCTACTAGTCCACAGCAACATACAGTTAGAAATCGGAATACAACCTGTATATAGCACCAAATCGTAATAGATATCAGACTAATATGAATAAAATAAGGTATCATTTCCATTTCGAACAACAGGAACTTCTACCTCGCCCAACTTACGGTCTAAAAAGCCAAAATGAAATAGGATGAGGGACTAGAAATAGAATAGAACCAAGGTGCATTAGAGAAGAAGCAAAAGAGAGGGAGAGGAAATTAATTACTCCAATAGCGCAGACAGCTTCAGTGCCCGTCCTCTGGATCCGATCGAGACACATACAAACTAAAAGATCATAACACAAATTGATCTCGACCTCCTAAATTACACATTACTTGAGAACAATGTTGAAAGATTAATGTAACTCGTCATACTTTACCATGGAGATTCCTCTCTTATTACAACAGTCCTTATGGTCAACTTCCCTAAAATAAACATTCATTCCTCAGGTATGCCTTCATCAAATCAAACATTGATCTCAACGATTTCCTTCAACAATCTATATTAGGTTTCATAATCTCCAACTGTCTTAATATCCTATAAATCTAGCATTATAATTCATCATCTAAACTTTGCCCTTTTGAGATCTTTCATGTAATCCATTTGCATGGCCTTCAACTATATCATATATATCTAAAAAAAAATCTAAACAATATTCCTAAGGAAAATTAAATTTACACATTTTTTTTAATTTCGATCTAACTGAACCACAAAGAAATTAAAAAAAAGGGATCGAGAACCTCACCGCTCCGCACGAGAACTGCGCCTCTCCTCTTCAGAAAGCTGAAACAGGACCCCAAACCTCTCAGTGCGTCGCTGCTTCTTCTCGAGATCGCAGATCTCCTAGGTCGCCGGCTTCGTGTCCCAGGGGTCCTCACTTCCGCCACCGTCGCCGCTGGCGGTCTCCGGTGTCTGCTCCGTATGAGGCAGGAGAGAAGTTGAGGGGGTAGGAGGACTGGGATTTGATCGGCGTCGAGAGTTTGGTCGGCGTCGAACTAGGGTTTAGGCAAAGTTAAACTAGGGGTTTGGAGACGGGAAGAGGAGAGAATGAGGGGAC